AGCGGTGGCCTAGGTGGGGGAGGTGGTTTGGGAGGGACTGGACCCGCAGGGATCCTGTCCTGAGCCGACCAAGCCCCGATCCTCGAAGGACTGATGCTGGTTATAACTCTGGCCAGCCGGTGCCACTCTGAGCCTCAATTTCCCCGCCGGGTGCTGGGCGTCCCAAAGCCGTAGACTTGGTGAGGGTCAGAGCGGAGTCGGATTTCACTCCTCCGGGGCCCTTACCCCCGCTTTTGGAGGGCTCTCACCCCTCCAGGACTCCTCTGTGGCCTGACCTCGACCTTCTGTCAGCCTGACAGGTGGTGCTAACCTTGGGCAGGCTCCCCCAGCCCTCGGAGGCAGCTGATCCATCTGTGAGTAAAGATATTTAAATGGGGAAACTGAGGCACATGGCAATGGCTGGCCAGTCCCTCACGTTGTGTTTTCTTTCTTTTTTTGTACCAAGGGTTGAACTCAGGGCCTTGCGCTCTCCAGGCAGGAGCGGTGCCACTGAACTGCATCCTCAGCCCCAGTCCCTCACTTCGGAACAGAGACAATTCATATTGGGGAAACTGAAGCTCTGAAAGGGAGGGGCCATGCTTTTCCATACCGGGCAGCAGGCAGAGGTCTAGAGATCCTCTACTGAGGGGCAGGGGAAAGGTGGCCGTAGGAAGGCCCTAGACAGGTGTGTGAGTAGGGAACTGGAGGCCCAGATTGCTGCCTAGCTAGGGCCCAACAGGCTCTTCTGGGTCTCTCTGAACCAGCCATCTGGACCTGAGCGAGAGGCGAGAATCAAATGGGGGTGGTGTCTGCACACCAGAAGGGATCCTCCTTCTCAGATTGGAGGCTGCACCCAATCCTGCTGTGCACCCCCAGTGATGAAGGACCTCTGCACTACTGGCCACACCGAGCAATCTACCCCTTCATTTCCAGAGCAGAGATCCAGGCAGTGGCTCCCTTCCATTCAGACAAGCAAGGTCCTGAGCCAGATGAGACTGTGGGCATCCAGTCTGGGCACAGGGAGGCAAGGGGGAAGTTGCACCTCACAGCTTCTTCTGGAAGACTCCACAGAGACCCCTAGTGGTCTAGGAAGAACAGAACAGCGTGAGTTTTAGGAGCAAGAGACTGCAGTTTCTTTTAAAGTCTCTCTTTGTGTGTGTGTGTGTGTGTGTGTGTGTGTGTGTGTGTGAGAGAGAGAGAGAGAGAGAGAGAGAGAGGCTGGGGATTAAACCCACAGGCTTTGCACTGTGTTATGTTCTCAGTCCCTTTTTGTTTTTACTTTGAGACAGGATCCCAATAAGTTGCTAAATTGTCCATCAAGGCTGTTCTCAAAACTTCCAATCATCCTGCTTCAACCTCCCAGAATGCTGGGATTACACTTTTAAAAGGTAAACTATGCCACACTTTTTATAAAATTGTGGTTTTTTTCTTTTTGTGTGTGCCTCACTTTTTTTTTAGACAGGGTCTTGTTCTGTAATTCAGGCTAGCCTTGAACTATGTAGCCCAGGGTGGCCTCAAACTCACATCAATCCTCCTGCTTTAGCCTCCTGAGTGCTGGGATCACAGGCATGCACTACTATGCCTGGACTCCCTGCTTCACTTTTTAAAGGTATGCATTTCAATGTCTACTTCACCCTTATTTTAGAAATACTACTCATATTTAAAAGAATTTTTTAAAAACGAATTGGATGACCTATTTATACATGTTCCAATTCACATGAAAATCACACAATTTAAATTAAACAGTCATGTGTTGAACTACTTTAAATGGCCTTGAGTGCCTCTCAGGGTACACTGTCATGTTTTGTGGAACCTGCAGGCCACCACCCACAGGAGCCAGGAGCTTAAAGAACAACCATCCCGATGTAGATCCTGAGGTGGGGATACGGTTACCACCCAACAGTGCACCTAGCCAGGTGTGCCGGTCACAGAGGGCTTCCTGCAGGAGGAGGATCCTGCTAAGCCTGGCCAATGGGAACCAGGAGGACAGGGATTACACGAGCAAAAGAGTGGGGCTAGAGCAGGCCTGGTGCATCTGTAAGGAGGATATGGCCCGCCCTTACACACACATCTCACTAGGAAGCCCATGCTGGAGGTAGATAATAACCCTCTCTTCAGAGAGAAGAAAACTGAGGACTGGGCAGGGGAGATTCCTGCTGCCCAGGCTCGTTGAAAGGAGTAAGTATAAGAATCAAGGAGTGTGTGGCTCTTGTAAACAGGGTATGTGGTTGAGAATAGCTATGCACACTTATAACGGAGTGCCACCAGCCAGGGCCAGTCCTAACTCAGTTGTCCCCCTGTCCCCGCACCTTCTCCCTCCCTCCCTAGAGGGGCTTCTGCTGCCCACTCCGTGAGCAAGCCTCTTCTCCCTGATGCTTTTGCTCTTGGAGGTTTCCTGGTGCCAGGCAGCATCCTCTAGTACACCAGACTGTACAGGGGAAGGGAAAGAAGCCAGGGTCTCTCCTTGCCCAACTGAAGGGACATAGTACGGCCATAGCAAAGTCACCCAGGGGGGAAAAAAAAAACAACATTAAAAACTTCAAGTTCCTGAAAGGCAGGCAAGCTCTGGGAAGCATTCTAAATTCATACCTTTGTTATCACCCTGGCTTGGAACCAAGATGCTAAAATCCTGAGGCCTCAGGGCCTGGCCTAATGGCCCACACTGTTAATTCCAGCACTCTGGGAGGCTGAGGCAGGAGGATCACAAGTTCAAGCAGAACCGGCCAACTTAGTGAGACCTTGTATCAAAATAATAAAATAAAATAAAATAATAAAATAAAATCCGGGGATGTGGTCAGTGTGAATGCCCTAGGTACAAAAAAAAAAAAAAAAAAAAAAAAAAAAAAAAAAAAGGTCCTAAGATTTCAGGACTCAAACCAGTGCTTAGTTTGACCTTTGCAGGCACCTAAATTGAAGACGTTTGGGATGGACACGTGTCCTGAATGTCGCATAAGCGCTGTCAGAGTCCGGCGCTACATCCGTGTGGTCAGGATCCCAGTGGGACAGGTGAGGTGGATCCTTTGGAATTAATTAGCACAGCCAAGTCTCCTCGCATCCCGCATCAGGCTGCTCCAGGCTGCCTGACTCGGGAAAAGTCAAAGAAGGGACTGGACGCCCCCTAGCGGGAATTCTGGAATGGGCAGCTAGCTGCAGGCCTTCCTCGCTCTAGTCCACGCCAAACCGAGACCACTCAAGTAGCCTGGGCAGCAAATTCTGGTGAGCAGGGAGGGGCAGGAAGCAAAGCTCAACATTGCACCTTCTTCCTCCGGCTGTCTCCAACAACCCTCAGCTTCACTCCCTGCGCTCCGCTGTGGTCCTTTTAACAAAAAGACCTGGTCCTGTCGCCCCTGTTTCAGTCCTCGGCGATTTTCGACAATGGCCTGGGTCCCCAAGATCCTCGTAGCTCGGGGCAGGTGCGGAGGGCGCAGGGGGGCGAGGGACGGGCTTGGGGGGGTTCTGCCTCCCGTGGGGCGTGTCCTTGAGGCTCCGCCCCGCCCTTGGCTGGATAGTGACGAGCGCTGCAGCGACTGTCCCTGAGAGGAGCCGCCACCTCTGTCCTCTCCACTGTACTCATTTGGACTCTACCATGCCTCGGGGGAGCCGCAGCGTGGCCGCCCGGCCAGCCAGGTGTGAGGAGGAAGGGGTCCCGTGGGGCGGCGGCTAAGGAAGGGTGGGCTCTCCTCCCAGGACGTCCGCCGGGTGACCTTGGTCGCTGGAGCGCCATCTTGGTGGGGGGAGGGGGCAGCAACCCCACTTCTAAGACGGAGGTCGCCCACATCCCCGGAGGAGAGGGGTCGTTTCCAGAAGCTGCAGGCGCCTCAAATCCCTGGAGTCCGGCCAGGATTAACCTTGCTTCTTTCTACCCCTGCAGCCGCCCGGCCGCAACTTCTGTCCACCCTCCCGCGCACCACCGGCCAGCCCGGCCTGATGGCGCAGATGGCGTCCACAGCCGCCGGGGTGGCCGTGGGCTCGGCTGTGGGACATGTCATGGGCAGCGCCCTCACCGGAGCCTTCAGTGGGGGAAGCTCGGAACCTGCCCAGCCTGCTGCCCAACAGGTGAGCAGCAGGTCCAGGAGGAATGAAGTGGGACTCCTTTAAGCCACTGAAGTTCCCTGGTGTATTCCGAGTCCCCTCAGGCCAGGGACTTTGATTAAGAAGGGTGACGTGACTCACTTTGCAGTTGAACGCAGTGTTACTCACTGGCAGGCTCTCTCTGCCTCTTCCTTGAGGTCAAGGCCCCAGGGCTTCCAGGCACTGACACCAACCAGCCCTTTAAAGATGGTGAAAACCTCGATCAAATGGCTCAGAGATTTGCCCAAGGTCATTTAACTTTAGTGGGAAGGAGGAATTTTGAATTTCCCAAGCCTTTGTTCGCACACTCAGGTCCAGTATGTAGCTGCTGGGCCCAAGGGTGAAGGGTAGTGCGTGCGTAACCATGACACCTGTTCCTTAATGACCTGTCCCTTGTTAGGTTGGTCACCAGTCCTGAGCCAAATCCAACCTCTGCTTAGCAAACTGGGTCAGAGGTCATGAGAATCAGTGTGGCTGAACCAGGAAGGTTCTAGAACTTGTGGGGTGGGACTTATACTTGACTATATGGGCAGTACAGGGCTTTTCTAGAACCGTCTCTTCCTTCCTCTGCAGCTGCCTAACATGCCCATTTTGAGTCGGTAGGGAAACCGGTCTGCTTCTGCTGAGCAGCTTTGAGCAGGCTAACTCCATTTCACAGATGGAGCAGCAGAGGCTAGATGGGGGCGGACAGGCCCTGGGTCATCAACCTACCTTAGACCCTTAGGGCATCCATGCTGGAAAAGCAAGGAGAGGCTGTCAGCCGTCATCTTTGGAACCCACCTCTGGGTACCAACCCTGAGCTGACCCTGCTGCTTCATGCAATGTCCCCCTAGGCTCCTGTGCGTGCTGCCCCCCACCCCCTACAGATGGGGCCCTGCTCCTACGAGATCAAGCAGTTCCTCGACTGCTCCACCACTCAGAGCGACCTGTCCCTGTGTGAGGGCTTCAGTGAGGCCCTGAGGCAGTGCAAGTACAACCATGGTGAGCAAACAGACCCTGTCCCAGGTGTGGCTGGGAGAGAACCCTCTTCTTGTGTCTGCAGGGTGACCACCAGCCTGTGCATCCCATTCCCACAGGTCTGAGTTCTCTGCCTTGAAGAGGCTGCTGAGGACTCACGGGTTAGCTCTGAGATGGCTCCCGACCACAGCTCTGCACCCACCCGATCCCCTCACCGACAGCCGGACCACGATGACAGATTGTACCTGGGAATGGGAGTAAGGACGGGGTTTCTTATCCTACAGATGACCCAAGACACAAGCATATAATTAAAGAGTCTATTTTAGAACACAGCCCACTGTGTGCCCTCTTGCTGGCTTGTCTGCCAGGAGCACCCTGGCTGGTGAGGAGGGGTCAGGGAAATGGATGGATGTCCTATTGCGGAGGGCTGGGAGGAGCCCTGTTGCAATGTGCACTGTGGCTAGCCAAGGACAGACCACCTCAGGCAGTCCAGTGTGAGGTGATAAGGCGTAAGCAGGTGACACCAAGGGCATCTGAATGGAGGCTGTAATCCAGGGAGGAGCCTCTATCTCCCCCGCTTAAGGGATATCTGCTCTTTTCACTCTTATTGTTTTTGCCTTTGGATCCCATTATCTGCACCCACATCTTAGGGGGTTCCCCCCACCCTACAGCCTCACATTTTGTATGTGACCTTGCCCCTCTTGCTGATGCAACTTCTCAGTAATTCCAGATTCCGCAAAAGGACTCCTGCTGGCTTGCTGTCTGTTTGCACCTGATCCCATGAGACAGGGGTCAGAGCCACCCTCCTTGAATCTGAGACCAGCTCAGCAACTTGCCTGTAGTGCGCCAAGTCACAGGGCCTGCTGGAATAGAGGAGTAGGCCATTTGAACCCAGTGCAGGCTGCTTCATCAAGCACTTTTATCCAGTGCTACAGAAGGAACCCAGGGCCTCACACATGCTAGGCAAGTGCCCTACTACTGAGCTACATCCCCAGCTGTCACACACACACACACACACACACACACACACACACACACACACACACACACACACGCGCGCACTCCACTATTGGAGATCTAATCCAGGCATTGACTTCTTACTGTGTTATATATATTCTACATCTAAGCACAGGACATTCTTGCCCTAAGGTGCTTGCATTCCAGCAGGCACAATGTCTGCCCTCTTAGGGGTACGTATGTGGGCTTTTTGAGGGTCTGCCTCTGCACATACCTGTCTGTCCCTTGGGAAGGGATTCCTACTTCAGCCTCTGGGCATCCATACCTTCTTCATACTGCACTCCTGGTCCCAGCTAGCGGGTCCTGGATGTCAGTGAGCCCATCCTTCGGGACCTGGAAGAAGTGCCTTGCTCCTTCTGGCCACGCCGATTGCCCATGCGTCTCTTCCTGCTGTTACCCGTAGCTGGGAGGCCCGACAGCCAGTGCAGCTCTTCTGGAGGGCCCAGGAAGTCCTGCTGGTGAGGACTGGAGAGCAGATGTGCCCTCCCCTGGGGCTCTGACTTGACACTCACCTGCCAGCTCAGGATACCAGTCATCCAGGTTCTCCAGTAGGGACACATAGCGGGTAGGGGCTCCGCCTTCCCCTCCTGTGGATTGTGGAGAAGACAAAAAGACCCTTGATTGGCCCAATGGTCTCCATCCTTTTACTTTAGATCTGTGCTTGCCCAGGCAAGGGTGACAGGGTACTGGGTACTATGACAAGGATAGGGTACTGGGTAGGAACAGGTTGGAACTAGGTCCTGGCCAAGGCAGGGGACTAGGTAGGGCCTTGTGTTGTCTGTAGCCTTCCCTTACATTTTGATACAGCTGCAGGGGAGTCTTGGGCTCCACTTACTGATAATTTGCACGAGAACATAGGTCCCTCGCTCCTGCAGCAGGGGGCTACCCATGGAAGGGGCTGAGGAAGTCCCCTTCTCCAGGTCCTCGCCCAGGCGCACCAGGTGCCCATCCTCAGCCAAGAGGGCGATGGTTGCTGGAGGGCATGGAGAGAAGTTGGGCAGAGCTGGCCGCCCTGCCTGGGGGCTCTCAGCCCCTTCTCCCCTGACCTCTATCCATCTCCTTACCGTCTGGGGGCACCTGCCCCTTATGCTTCAGGTGGGCAGTGAGGGTCACCAGGCTGCACCAGGGGTTGACCAGCTCCCCGTGGCCAGCTAAGGGACAGAGGCAGAGGTGAGCAGTTGGCACCCCCACTTTCCCCTCAATCAAAGCCTCTGTTTCTCCAATTCCTCTCTTCCCTTGGGCTGCGGTTAGGGCACAATTGTCCAGGTAACTGTTTGTACTGTTTTTGGAGAGCCCTCCATCCAGCTCTTTTGAGTTGTGAATGATTAAGACTCGAAATTAAGGTTCACCACTTGAATCGCAAGCACCGGCCAGGGTCCGGCCGCGCCCCAGCCATACTGGGCCTTGGGCACCTGCCCTGCAGCCCGCCCCAACCCGACGGCCCCTCCCCCACCCCTAATCCGACCCGTCTCTGCAGAGCGGCGGGGAACATGCAGCTGCAGCTTTACGTATCTGATGCCAACTGAGGCTTGAGGGCCTCTGACTGGATGGTAAAGAGACGGTGCAGTTATTTATTTATTTAGAGAGGATGCAGTTTTTAAAGGGCTGGACAGTAGCGCGGCGGGGGCATACCCGGTAGGAACCTGCCCAGGACTCAGTCCAGGTTTTCCCTCAAGGGATTCATTTCAGGCTCTCGCTCTATTTTCTTATAGGTCGCTTCCCCACATCCCCATTCCTCCCTCTCACCCCTTCCTCCCGTCGCTACCTCCCCACCAGACCAGCGACCCCACTTACCTCCAAACCTCACTGTGATAAACATGGCTGCGGAGGCGGGGAGGAGACAGATGGACGGGTGTATGTGGGGGGGGGCGCTTTGATCCTCCACCTCCGGATTCCCCAACCTGAAAGGGCCTGGGCCTGAGATCTACTTCAGGGCCGGGTCCTGCTGAGGAGATGTGGACACGTGAAGGTCTCACGACCGGGTCCCAGCTCAGCCACCTGCTCTGCTAGTCCTAGACCCCTGGCCTCTTCCTGCAGTGCTTGCTGGGCCAGAGTAGCTCCCCTTAGCTCCTAAGCTGGTCTCCATGGCAGTGGGAGCCGCTAAGACATCTAGGCAGGAAATGCCTTACCCCCAGTATCCGGGTAACAAGCTGGCAGGGCGGGCATTCCCTGAGGCGGTGCTCTGATCAGGCTCAGAGTGGGGGCTCCAAAGTGGGGGTCCAGGGATGCTCACATGCTGACGTCAGAGCCCACATTCCTCACCAGGAAAGGGCAAAGCCCCCAGCCTGGAAGAGGTGGCTGTTTGTGTCCCTACCAACCTCTGCAGGCTCTCTACCACCTAGGGACCTCCCAGGGCTGGCTTTCTTTTCCTCTCTGCCTTTCTCCTAGCCTTCCAGTCTTCCACCCTTGTTTCTTTTTCTTTTCTTATCGAGTTTATTGAGGTATAACTTACACACTTTAAAACTTACTCTTTTCAGTGTTCTGAGGTTTGTTGTTGTTGTTTTTTAATATATTAGGGATTGAACCTACCTTTTGCTGAGCTACGCCTCCAGCCCTTTTTAAAATTTATTTGAGATGGGGGCTTGATAAAGTACCTAGGTAAGACTCAAATTTGTGATCTTTCTGCCTCCGATTCCCAGAGCGCTGGAATTACAGGCATGTGTCACTACACCCAGCTTGCTTCTGAGGTTTTTTTTTTTCTTCTTTTATTGAGTTTATTGTTGATTTTGAGTTTTGATGGATCACCAACCACCACAGTTAGGATACAAAACATTTACATCACCCCCAAAATTCCTTGGGCCTCTGTAGCTGAATCAAAATGGAGACACTTTTTCAAGTCCTACTCAACTCTCTCCAAAATAAATAAAGCTGGGAGGTCACAAAAGAAGGAAAATCTCTTGCATGTATGTCTGATAATAAGAGCTATCCACAACAACTCTACCAGAACCACAATCCTGCACAAAGGCCACCGCAACCTCACACAGAAATGCTTCTGCAAGGACATCTGTCCAGCGACTGTGTGTTTAGTCTTGGACTGACGCCACTCTTGTTATTGACACTTGTCGCCAGGGATTATTGCTGCATATATTTTATGCTATTCATTTCACCTTTAGAAACTTCCCTTTGCCTCAGGCTCCTTGAATTCGCTCATAGGTCACTATGTGTAAGTGTATTCCCATTGCTATGTTACTCTATCCCCAAATAAATTGAATCGATCTTTAGAAATCTGTCTTGAATTGTTATTTAGAGTTGACTCTAGCCACTGGTGTCCACTGCTCTGTTTTCCATACCTGCCTTTTCCAGAATGTCATATAAATGGAACCACACAGTATGGGGCCTGTTGTGTCTGGCTTCTTTCATTTGGCAGGATGCATTTCACATTATGTGTGCTAATATTTCCCTCCCAATTGCCGAAGAGTGTCCCATTGTCTGGAGGTACTGCAGTTTGTTGTTGCTTTTGTCTTGTGTTTTGGTACTAGGGATCGAACTCATAACCTTGCACTTGAGAGCCACTGAGCTAAATCCCTGGCCCTGCATTTTGTTGATCTATGCACCTGCTATTTTGCTGGGTTGTTTCTAGCTTCTGGAGATTATGGATGAAGCCTGTATAGGAATTTGCTACAGGAAGCAGAGATTTTAATTTCTCTAGGGATTGCCAGGTCACCTAGTGAGTACATGTTTAGTTCTGTAAGAAGCTGCCAATGCGTTTTCTAGTGTGTCATCATTTTGCATTGTCTTGCTGTCTCCTGGATCCACAGTGTGCCATAAGCACTTTTTTGTTAGTCTTCACTACTATCAACTCTTTTTCCAGTGCTGGGGCTGGAACCCAGAGCCACAAGCATGCTAAGCAAGTGCTTCACCATTTAGCTACACTCCCAGCCCTCTCATTGGCTCTTGCCATCATTTCTTCTCTCATGTTTGACTGTCTCTCCTCTCTGTTCTCACACTTGACTTCTTTCTCCACTTTTTTTTTTCTTCCCGTACTGCGGATCGAACTCAAGACCTTGTGTTTGTGAGGCAGGCATGGCACCACTGAGCTAAATTCCTGGCCCATTTCTCTGCTTCTTTATGTGTTCATCCTTTGACTTTTCTCTCTTTTTCATCATTCTCTTTCCTCCTTGCCTACCGCCTCTGTCTCCTTGTTCTATCTCCTGCCCTGCCTTCTCGTGACCCTCTACGAGACTCCTCCAGACAGAGTGCCAGGTGGAAACCCTCATGTCCAGATATATATCCTATATATCTTGCCACTCACAGGCAGAGTTCTGGACAGCAAGGTAGGAGGAAGTCTGGGTCTTCCCTGCAGCGTACCAGTAACCTATCCTAGTCCTGGGTGAGCGCTTTTCTTTAGATGACTTCATTGTTTCCATCGGCAGAAGGGGTACACACCATGTGAAAACAGCATTCCTCAAACTTACTTAGACATGGGGCACTTTTGTGGGGACCCAGACCTACACAACACAGCTCAGAAGTTCTAAGTGTGAGGACTCAGGAAGAAAAGGCCAGCTCCAGGGCTGGGGCCTCAGATCTGGTAGTCACCACTCTCCTGTCCAAGGATATCATCTTTAGTGCAATGGAGCTCCTTAAGGAGGTCTCAGGGATGGAGAGGGACCCGTGGAGGGGGCTTAACCTCCCCGAGGCAGGGCTAGAGGCTTTGAGTTAATGAGAGTATACTGGTTGGTTGGTGTTTTAGTTTAGAAATCATTTATCATTAGGGCACTGCACCTTTACCAGAACAAATATAATTTATAGAAATGATACAAGGCACTTTTTAAAAAATCTGGTATCGGGGATTAAACTTAGGACCTTGTGCTTCTGAGCAGGGGCAGTACCACTGAGCTAAATCCCCAGCCCTTCTCAAGCTTTAATGTTTAGCAATGTTTTGCTTAGTGGAAATATTCATTGTAAAAACCACCTTTAGTTACAAAAGAAAAAAAAAATTAGAAACCTTATCAGAATTAACCTTTTACAAATGTTCTAAGAATTCTTAAGCTTCACTAAAATTAGAAAAACACTAGTTTTAAAATAGTTTGGTTCTGTTCCTGTGGCTTTTGTACACATATTAAGTGGTCTCATTATAGGAAACCAAACTAAAATTTGATCACATGAAGCACTATAAAGGCAAAAGAGAATCACCTTTAAACAAAATCAGTTTATATGCAATAATTCCGAGTATCAAATATATCGTTTTGTGGTTGATAACTGTCTACTACAACATATGACAGAAAATACATTTATACACTTACTGGACTGTTTTTTACTTTTAACAGCTCTGTTGTCTAAAATAAGGATTGCTGATAAAATCAGCAGTACAGGGCCAGGGATTTGGCTCAGTGGTTCCACCTGCCTGCCTTGCAAGTATAGGGGCCCTACTTCTATCCCCAGCACCAAAAAGAAAAAGAAAAAGAAAAAAAAACCCTGCAGGGCAATTCAGTTAGTTTAACTATTTAATTACCTCCTCTATTCTTTTTTTTTTTTGGTCATCCCGCAATGAAGCTGCTCCCCGAAAGTGATATTATATAATGAAAAGCATTAAACAAGCACAAGGTCCTGAGTTTGGTCCCTGGTACCAGTGGGGGTGTGGGGGGGGAGACATTAAGTACCTGGAGTTTATGTTTTAGATCAGGACATCATTTGGGGCCTGGGATTTAGCTCAGTGGCACTGCGCCTACCTGGCAAACACAAGGTCCTGAGTTCAATCCCTGGTACCAAAAAAAAAAAAAAAAAAAAAAAAACCCTGCAGGGCAATTCAGTTAGTTTAACTATTTAATTACCTCCTCTATTCTTTTTTTTTTTTGGTCATCCCGCAATGAAGCTGCTCCCCGAAAGTGATATTATATAATGAAAAGCATTAAACAAGCACAAGGTCCTGAGTTTGGTCCCTGGTACCAGTGGGGGTGTGGGGGGGGAGACATTAAGTACCTGGAGTTTATGTTTTAGATCAGGACATCATTTGGGGCCTGGGATTTAGCTCAGTGGCACTGCGCCTACCTGGCAAACACAAGGTCCTGAGTTCAATCCCTGGTACAAAAAAAAAAAAAAAAAAAAGACATCATTTGAGTAATTTCAAATGACGTATAGCTATTCTTATAAAAAAAGGTGTTTTGTGATCACAATTATCTCAAAAAGTAATTATATTCAAATAACCTGACATATCATGCCTTAGCAATTACAAAATCATGATTTTGACATGACAATTTATAAGTTAATCAATTGTAAAATGCTTAAAGATTCAAACAACTATTCTTCTGTTTGTTAGGTGTTGTTTAAGAGTATCCGCTTGGGTACTCATTTTTTTCAGATAACAGAATCAGCCCACCATATAGCATGCTAAATTTGTAAAGTCCAAATCCAAAGAAGGTAATACCTTTACTAAGTTACAAAACTTCTGTCAAACCAATATAGTACTCTCTAAACAGAATAATGAGCTGGGCATAGTGGTGCACACTTGTAACCCTAGCACTTAAGAAACTGAGGCAGGAGGATTTCCATGAGTTTGAGGCCTACATAGTGAGTTCAAGGTTAGCCTGAACTACACAGTAAGACTGTTTCTCAAAAAAAAGACATATGCTCTCAACCCTACATCTTCATGGTGCCAGCAGCCTATTAGATGTCCAGACTGCACAGGGGAAAAATGAGAGCATATTGTTTTGATTGGTTTTATTGTTTTTTCAGGGATGGTGAGGTCAACAGATCAGGAGACCAGTGCTCTTGACAAGGTTATATGTTACTCTGGTCCTGCAAGGACCAGATCCTTAGGCCATAGGGGTTTACAGCAGGGAGCACTACCATTGGTCAGGAGGCATTGGTCAGTGTGAGCAGGGACCTTCATTGGGGCTTCTTCAGAAAGGAATGAGCAAGGCAGGATAGGAGGTTTAGAAGTGGCCAGTTGGGATAACTTCAGTGGACTCTGGGGCATAGGAGTTGTTTCTACTAGTATGGCGACTGGCCTTGGGTAATTAACAGGTGGAGTTTCAGAGCCCAATAATGGAGGGGCCGGGGCTGTGGGCTTAGGATTGGTAGATTTGCATTTGAAAAATACATAGTAGTTTTGTATCTCTAGAGATAAGATAACCTTGGGGGCCATGCCAGTTCCTCCAAGGTTAGTAAGGCCCCAGCATTGGAATATAGAAAATAAAAGACACTCGTGTGTTAGTTAACTTTCCATTACAGTGAAAAATACCTGAGATAAGCAACTGAAAAAAGAGGAAAGGTTTATTCAGCTCAGAGTTTTGGAGGCTTCAGTCCATGGTCAGTTGGCCCCACTGCTGTTGATCCCGTCGTGAGACCACACATCATGGCAGCAACATGTGGCAGAGGAAGTGGTCACCTCATGGCAACTGGGAAGCAGAGAGACAGGAAGTAGACAAACTCCCATTAAGTCATTTGAGAATATGTTCCCCATGCCCTGAGGCCTCTTACTCTTCATCTCTTAAAGGTTCCAGAATATTCCAATGATGCCAAGTAGAGGACCAAATCTTTAACACATGGGCTTTTGGGAGACATTTCACATCCAAACTACAGCACTTAATAAGAGCAGTGTGCTCAGCACTGAGCCAATATGTCTGTTATGGTTTAAAATGCCCCCTCACAGGGCCAAGGACATGGCTCAGGGGCACCGCGTCTGCCTGCCAAGCTCCAGGTCTTGAGTTTGATCCCCAGTACCAGGCGAAAAAAAAAAAAAGAATGACCCACCGCAAGCCTCATGTGTTCAGAGGTGGTGCTTTTGGAATGTGATCACATCATAGAGAACTGTGCTCATCACCGGATTAATCTACTGAAGAATCAGTCCACGGTTAAATGTGTCATTAGGATGTGGGGCCTGGTTGAAAGAGGTTGGTCACTGGGGAAATGACCCAGAAGGCATTCCTGGTTGCCACAGCATGAGAAGCTGTCCTCCACCCAGACCCTTCCTCCAACGTTTTTGCCTTGGAGTCAGTTGACCATGGGCTGAAAATGTGAGCCAAAATAAATCTCTCCTTAAAATCATGGGTTTCAGGTATTGTGTCTTAGTAACCAATGGACTTAAACCTCACTGGTGAGGATTTAACATCACTACAACTGGAACCTTGGCAGTGTCTACTAAATCTGAATGTACACAGTTCCACTCCTGGGTGTCCTTCCAGAAAAAAATGAGAACACAAGTACACCAAAAGACACTGACAGAAATGTTCACAGCAGTTTCGTTGGTCTTGGCCAGAGGGATGTCTAATAACAGGAAAGTGGATAAACTATTTGTGGTATAGTCACAACAATGGATTACACACAGCTATTAGAATTACGTATTGTTGCCTGCACATGGATGACTCATAAATATTTGCTGGACAAAAGAAGCAGACATAGAGCCTCACAAACATTAACACCCACTATCATTCTATTTATAATAGAAACTCTAGAGCAGGCAAAATCAATCTAAGGTGATAGAAGTCAGAATAATGGTTTCCTTGGATGTTATGCTCATCAGTTTTCCATCACTGTAACAAATACCTGAGAAAATCAAGGTGTGCTTTAGCTCACAGTTTGGAGGTTTCAGTCCCTGGTCAATTGGCCCTTTTGTTTCTGGACTAGGACCAAGGCTTTATCACACAGACCTCTGAGGGACACTCTTAGATTCAAACTACAGCAGGGGCAGAGAGTATTACTCTAGAACAGTGAGCTGGGGGTTCTCTGGAGACCTGGAAATCTTCATCTTCTTCTATTTTTTGTTTTGTTTTTGCAGTACTGTGAATGAACTGGGCTACATCCCCAGCCCCATTTTGATTTTTTATTTTGAGACAGGGTCTCACTAAGTCATCAAGTTGCCCACGTTGGGCCCGAACTTGTGATCCTCCTGCCTCAGCCTCCCAGAGTATTTCCACCATGCCTGGCTGGAAATGTTCTAAATCTGGATCCAGATGGAGATTATAGTGTTCTATGTATGGGTGCACATGTGTATCATATTTAAAATCACTGACCTATTTGCTTAAGTTTTGTTCACTTTCCCACATTCCCCCTCTACCTCAATTAAAAAAAGCAGATCCTGGGGCTGGGGATGTAGCTCAGCAGCACAGCATTTGCCTGGCATGATGGAGGCATGATCCCCAGTGCTACAAAAAAATAAAACAGATTTCAACCTCCTGGTATAATTGCACTTGAGGACTTCCAGGTTTCTGGTCTCCCACAGTCCTGTGTACCATGACCTTGACATTTGGGAAGAGAGGGGCAGGCTGTTGGCCCTAGCCACACCTCTCCTTCCTCAGTCAATGGGTTAATTTGCATGCCTTTTTGTGGTCCAGCAGCCTCCCTAGTCCTGTGCCCCTAAGCACCTGGAGAACAGCCTAGCTGAACATCTGAACATCTCCCTGCCTGCCTCTCTGCCTCTGGTCATGGCCTGCCCCCAGTACCTGGTCCTTCTGCTAATGGAAGCTTTCCTGGCAGGTGAGCTCTCCCATGGCCTGCCTCACCTAGGGGTGTAGTGGGGGATGGCACTGACCTGAGAAGGTCCTGCAAAGGAGCAAATCAATGGAGGCCAACAAGACAGTCCTGGGAGAGGCACTTAGTTAGAGGGAGACCTGGCTCCAGGAAGTTCTGCCTTGACCTAGGGCAGGTCCCTTCCCTGTGCAGGCTTTGGTTTCCTAATTTGTTAATGAGATCAGTAAGGGCCCTTCAGACTCTAACCCTTTGGGGTATCTAAGTAGAAGAGAGCTTAACACCTTAATTTTTCACAGGGAAAACTGGCTTGTCCCTACCCCACAGGGCCTTAAGGGCAACCTAACCCCTGAGGAAGGCCCCAGCGGCCAGTGGCCTTAGGCTGAGGCCTGGGTAGTACAGTCCAAGAGTCTTCTGGGGGTGGTTAGCCTGTGGGATTTGTGAGAGCTGTAAAACTGAGGGGAAAAGTGTCTGCAGAGAAAGGGAGGTAGGCGGCAGGATAATCCTGAACGTGAGTCTTATGTTCTGAGGGCCAGGCTTCCGAGTGAACACGGATTCTTAGGGACCTGGCATCAAGAGTGACTTAGGGGTCACTGACTCCAAAGCCCTCACTCACAGAGGGAAACAGAGGCCTAGAGAGGGTAACCTAAGTCACATGGAACCAGGCTTCCTGTGCCCCTTCTCATGCCAATCCCATGGCCCGGGGCCGTGGAAGTAGGCATCTCCTTGTGGTTTGACCAAGCCTTCATAGGCAGGGGCAAGAGGGAAGGGACCCAGGTCTGGCCTCAGTGGGTCTGTATCTCTCAGTCTCCCAGCTAGCCCTGGCCCAGCCGGACGCACTGCTGGTCTTCCCAGGCCAAGTGGCTCAACTCTCCTGCACGCTCGTCCCCCAGCATGCCAACATTGCAGACTATGGTGTGTCCTGGTACCAGCAGCGGGCAGGTAGTGCCCCCCGCTACCTCCTCTACTACCATTCTGAGGAGGACTTCCACCGGCCTGATGACATCCCTGACCGATTCTCAGCTGCCAAGGATGTGGCCCATAATGCGTGTATCCTGACCATCAGCCCAGTGCAGCCTGAGGATGATGCGGATTACTACTGCTCTGTTGGTTACAGCTCTGATCCCTAGGGGTGGGGTATGGGATGAATGTCTCCTGTCTGCCTCTCATTTCTGCCCCTGAACTTGGATACCTCTCCCTCTCTGTCTCTCTCTATGATCCTTGCTTTCCTTCCTCTGTACAACGGATTAATAAAATTAAATATTATGAAGGCCATGAGTTACTGATTGAAAAAGTGACGGTAGTTGGTCTGGGAGTGTATGTGGGATCGTTGTTGTTGAAGAGGAAGCACCTGAGACCTTTGGGGAGTGGCTCAGCCTTGCCTTTGGCCTCCAGGGGCTCAGCCTGGTGGCCTGGCCTTCCGGTAACCTGAGGCACTAGAGGGAGAGAAAAAGGAACCAGCCCTTACTGTCCTCAGTTCTGCGTGACTGATTGTGGTCCAACACTTACACAATCTGGGGAGGCTGGTCCCCACAAAGCCAAGGCTGCTGGCTTGTGGAGGGGCAGCCCCTGCCTCCCACCTGGAGTCTCTGCAAAAGGTCCTGTGGGTCAGTGATGGAGCAGGGAGCAGGTGTATGTAGGTGACATAGGGCATGGAGGAAACTGAATGACACCTGAGGGCCAGGGCTGAAGGTGAAGGCAGGTGGGTGGATGCCTGGGTAGCATCCCTCCTCACCAGGAATAGTGTGTTCTGTCGGTCTCTTGTGATTAGATTGCTATCTCTTGGGGGAAGCTTTTCCCACAGGCTGGGCAGCCACAATTGAGCTGTCATGGGCTGAGGGGCAGAGAAATGGATGAAAGGACAAGTCTTCCAATCAGAAGCAGAGCTGAATGCATGGAACCGGGCCACGTGTGCGTTCAAAAGCATCTCCCTGCTGGGCTGGGGATGTCGCTTAGTTGTTGAGAAAGAACTTGCCTAGTGGGCAGGAGGTCCTGGAATAGACCCCCAGCATCACAAAAACAAAACAAGCACACCCCTTTTCCTTTCTGGTGTCCCTAAGGGGCGCCTCATGTGTGCAGGTTAGTATTCAGACGCGTAGAAATCAGAGCTCCAGGGTCCTGAGAGGATCCTGCCTACACTGCCAGCCACACCTCCCAATCTGTCTTTGGCGGGGAGGGGAAGGACCAGGCTTACCCTTGAAAAAGGGAGAATTTCAAACAGGACCCCTGGTTAGAGAATTTTGGGAATTCTTTCCTCTTCTTCTGAAAACCCCAGATTCCCAGGGGTCCCCGGGAAGGGGCAGCAGGTGCCTGGAGTCTACACAGGCCCGTCTTACCTGACCTCTGTTTTTCTTTTGCACGCCAGTCAGAAGCAGCCCAACTCTGTTTTCCCTATGGTCACTTGCACTCCTCTCACCACAGAGACTTTTCTGATACGCGTCCCTTTGCCCCAGCATCTGGGCAGACAGATTAGGAGCCCTCCGACCTGATGCGGTAGCACCACCGAGATGCCGGGACCTCCGCTCGGCCTAGAGCGGTCCCGGAAGTACCCGTAGGCCGGGGGCGGGACTCCGGCCCTCTGGAGGCCGCGGGCTCCGCGTCAGCTGCAGTGGAAGAGCGAGGCCGCGACGGCCGCGGGTT